AATGTCATCGCGGTCGCATCGTTATATCTCAACGTCATGACGTTCCGTATTGGTAGTGAGTGCCGGTTTTGTGTACACCTGGCGTCCAAATCGCCCCCAAGACACTGGCAGAATTGGGCGGCAACAGTACTTCATCCGCTTGTTTCTCGAGCCCCCCTGCATCAAAAGTCGTTCCGATTCTTTTTGTCGTGCTCGCAGAGTACGTCCAAGTACGTGAAAACTCGCAACACGCAAATTCTGTTTAGTGGAATAATTTTGGCTGTACAGCGCCAAATGGGGGCGTCAAGATCGCCCCCAAGACTTGAAGGAGAAATGGGCGGAAACAGTACCTCAACCGTTTGCTTCTCGAGCCCCCCTGCATGAAAAGTCGTTCTAATCCTTTTTGTCGTGCTCGCAGAGGTTGTCCGAGTGAGTGTTTCAAAAATCGCAACCAGCAAATTCTTTTATGTAGAAAATTGGGCTGCACAACGCCAAATGGGGACGTCAAAGTCGCCCCCAAGACTTTGGGGGAGAAATGGGCGGCATCAGTACTTCAACCGCTTGTTTCTCGAACCCCCCTGCATGAAATTCGTTCCGATTTCTTTGTCGTGCTTGCAGAGTACGTCCCGGCGAGTGTTTGGAACATCGCAACCATGTTCCGATTTCTTTGTCGTGCTTGCAGAGTACGTCCCGGCGAGTGTTTGGAACATCGCAACCATTGGTTGTTCCAGTACATGTTTTGTCGTTCGTTCCCTACCGCTGACTGACGTTGTTTGCCCTGTCGGTAACAATACTATAGACTTCGTTCTATTAGGGTTGGTACGGCGAACAACTTACACATATTGCGTTCGCGGAGGACGTTCAAGGAAGATACCTTTGTGCTGGTGGTGATGGTGTGCTATCCTCGGCATATTCAAGTCATGACACAAAACGAAGATCTTCCCTTGCGGGAATCTATGTTGCACTTGCTATTTTCTTCCTCCCTGCCGGTGGCAGGTAATGGGACAACCACCCCTGGAGTGTGAGACCAAACGAAGCGAATCAGCGACCTGAGTCTGAAACGTAACGCAAGAATAATGTTGGAAGTGAGGGGCAACGGTCTAGGGTTACGAAATCAACATCGAGACACCTTGCCTGCGACTACTTGTTTGAGTCAAGCAGGCTCTGGTTCACCCCCAAGACCCTTTGCGATATTGTTGCTGCAAAGGCCTGTCGTTGCTGGATAAGTTCAAATCCCCGAGCATTACAGATGATGCAAATGCCGCGTGAACCAGTGATCGTATGTGTCGAAGGTGAGTGATGTGAGTGCGAATTGACGATGCTGTGCCTTGTCAGCAAGGGTTCCAACACGCGTGCCAACGACAGCGACTCTACGTTTCGATCCCTGGATGAAATCTTGAACCCCAGGAAGACCCCCTGGGCACCCCCGGCGAGCCCTGGGAATGTGGGACGACCCCTGGATAACCCTATGCCTAATGACAGGTTACCGTGTGACCAGATCTGTGATGTGACACCTGAAGGTCTCAGAACTTGGAAGTCATCATTTGGGCCGGCAGTTCCGTTCAGCCGAAATTTTCACAAAATTTGTACAAGTTTTTTTCATGTATAAAACGGGCCTCAGTGAGTGTGGCGTTTCGGAAATAAAAGGACTTTCGGAAAAAATTCTTTCAGGAAATCGTTGTTTTTCCGTCGTATAGACGATTACCTAAGGATTCACATAAACAAGAAGACTTGTTTTTACGATTTTTCCCAGACAGACGTAACCATGACGTTACCGCCTATAACTCCGTGATCGATTTCTAGCTTCGGTTATTCACCTCTATCATTGGTAGAGCGATCCCTGAAATTGTTGTTGAAATCGGCTAAATTTTGGATTTAGCTGACATTTGGGGGTCAGAACCGCAAAAGAGCCACAACTCTCGAACGGCTAACTTGGCTAACTCAGTCGACTTCGCGGATTGAAGCCCGTGACTCGGGCTTTCATAGGATGTATAGTCTAATTGGATCCTTGAAAGTCAGTATTGAGGCCGGGAGGTCCTAGTAACCCTAACCTTAACCCTGACCCTAAGTTGAGCGTGTGTGTCCTGCGTCGACTGCAGTCTTGTATCACGCATACAGCTGGTGGGGTAAGCAATGTAATCCACCATCAATGAGGAAGGCACTGCTGTAGGGTCCCACTGGGTGCGTGAAAAGCAGTGTGGCTGGAATACTTCATGTGCTGGTCGCCTCACCAGCTGCCAGCTGCCATGTGCTGTGCGTGCGTGCGTGTTCCACACACTCCTGCCGGTGTTTGTGTGTCGATTGGAGTCTTGTAGAGCTACGTACAGCAGTGGGTCTCGGTCCCTTTGCAGCTGAAGGAGAATCTGCCTGCAAGAAAATAGAAGGCGGTGCTCACTACCCACGTCAGATGTTTGGCGCTATGCCGCGGGATTTTGTGGCCTGTTCGCCGCCCCAGGTGTGGCACGTTGCTGTGCGCTTTGCATGCATCGACCACAAACTCCTGCAGGTGCTTGCGTGACGATCGGAGCCTTGTAGAGGCAGATGCAGCTGGTGGGGTCTAACTCTAGCATATCTACCCCACCAGTGATGGTAGCGGCGGCTATCACTGCACGAACGAGGAGACTGTTGTCAAACCTGATGACGATAGCCTTANGAGGTAGCCTATAATACAAGCTATCGTCTGGTACCCACAAATACATCATACTCCTCTTCATGCCCGAGAACGAGCTGTTGGCGCGAGGGGTGGCTTAAGCGTTCGTTAATTGGCCGGTTTACTCTACATTCCGAGTTCAACAGCAGGAACCGCAGCAGCAACTGCATGTGTACAACGGGTCACTAAAAGTGCAGCGGAAGGGACAGAGAAGAGACCGGATCGGTACATACTGTGAAGACAACACAGCACCATCAACAACCGCTATAGTCTAGACTCTTATCACGCCACACCGCGTATGCATACCAGATCGTCCCTTGCAACGCAACCCCTTACCGGCGCGCAACCCCTTAAAGAAGTCCATGCGCTTGCCAAGGAATGGTGGTCGAGTAGATCATGTTGTGCGGGGTCGAGAAGCCTCGCTCCGCGCAAGGGGGATGATCGCACCACGTTGTGTTAAAATGGTCAAGCACCCTCGAGGCAGTTACACAGTGGTGCTTACAACTGTCTCAGGAAGCGAAAGCACCAGAACATAAATTCAGTCATACGCCGCTGTCATCCGTACGCAAGGAAGAAAGCACAAGATGCCGAACACCCTTAGCANATCGGGATTGGGTTTTCGTCGCTTGTCAGCGACGTTGTAAAACAAGCCAACTCACTTCGTGACCTCGGCAACCAGGTTACCGGGTTTTTTTTTAATACCTCTGGTTTTGTTTTGGCGGTAACCATAAGGTGGTCGAGTGGAACATGTTGTGCGGGGTGGAGAAGCCTCACTCCG